CCATAGAAGAACATTTGTGAAATTTGTTGTATCTCACCATTAGGACATTAAGTTCTCATCAAGTTAGAGTTTCAAGTTAAGCATTCTGTTTCAATGCTTTTGTTAGTCAAGATTAGTTGGCTTCCACTTTACATCCTCATCCAATCTGTGCGCTCCTACTGGGATGTTAGTATGATAAAGTTTGGAGATATGTGCAGCCGCAAATGCAGCCACATGCTCCAGAAAACCAGAATGTTTAACTAGGCAGCCTGGCTAGATGCATGACGGCAGCTATTGGGGTGTGAGGATGGCTGCCGTGACTTTGAAAGGACAGAAAATTGGCCTGTACTCCTCCCAAGATCTGAGCATTTAAAGGGACTTGAAGGTTGCTTGAATACACCCATATCAGACAAGTGGAAAGAAGGTTGTTGTTGGAAAAAATTAAGTACAATTGCTGGCTGGTTTATATTGTTGAGCTTCAGTCCTCTAAGCAGTACGAATCCTAGATGAAGGGCCAACCTTACCTCTCAACCATGATTCCATGATAGGAGCTGTGGAATCACTCTTGTGGCCAATGGAGCTTAGGGTTGCTTGTAATAAACAAACAAGAAAGAGTTAAACAAGGTTCATTTATTTCAGCTCCTGTAGGATGCATGGGAGAGGAAGTAAAAGTAAGCTGAAAATGACAGCTCGTTTTTATTTTGTCCACTAACATTTTCAAGTCTATACTGAAATAAAGGAAGATATTTCTGGCCATAAGCTTGGGGCTAGCAAAAAGAAGCAGGAGATAAAATGAATGGCAACTAAAAACAAAAAAGATGGCCAGAGCCAGGCTATCCCCGGAATGTCAAGTCAATATTTGTTGGCTAATGTTGACTTTGGTTGACACAGTAAAGCTTGGCAAAGGAAAATGCCATTGCCAGTGGACGGTGACACTTGAGTTCCTTCAGGTCAAGGAACTCAAACCAGGAACACCTGAGAAAGAAGAAACAGGATAGCAGTAACTACAGGAAACGGGTCTTTTTCTTTGAGGCCAACCAATCTCCAGGGGTAAATCACTATGAGAGCAAGAGAACAGAATCTGACACAATCACTATGAGAGCAAGAGAACAGAATCTGCAGGAACTGTGGAAATATAGCCCCTTTCAGAAAACACATTTCCCTCTCCTGGCAAAGTGGACAAGAGGAGTCTAAGAGGTGAGCAGCTGCCCAAGGTAAGCTCAAGAAGCCTTTCCTTGCTCAAGAAAATCCGTCTGTCAGATGTGGCTAGAAAGCTGTGAAAATGTTATTTTGAGATTTGGCTCCAAGGCAAGGAGAGCAGTAGACAGCCTCATTCTGGAGGAGAGAGGAAGAATGGAGGCAAAAGAGAGCATCTCTTTTCTAGATTTCAATGTGAGATGCAAAAAGGTCTTTTGGAGGGCGGGGGAGACACAGGATTAGTGTGCATACTTTACATGCAGGAGACGTGGGTGTGATCTCAGACATCACACGACCCCCCACCCCCCACCCCAGCACTATCAGGAACCACTGACAGCCCCACCTGGTGAGGCCCCAAAACAGAACAAAAGCAAAAGTAACAATGAAAAAGAATCCTTTTAACAGTTTTGTCTGTCAAAGTTCCAGTTCCAATGGCAGGGACAAGCCTTTCTATTAAAGTTAAACTTCTTGTTTTTCTAGCTTTGGAGGGAACTGATAAAGCAAATGAATTAGATTCTGAATTATGCCTTAAGAAGAAAGACTCAATCCCCAAATCTATGAGGTACTATGTGCTGTGCTATTATGTTGAGCTTTATTACTTCTTCAAAGTGGGGACAATCACAGTATTTCTATGCACAGCGTTTGTTTCATAAATCACTTAAGATGATTTCTAAAATAAGTAGTGTCACTGTCCTCCCATTGTTCATCGATTTGCTTAAGCGGGCCCAGTAATGTCTCCATTTTGAGACTTGTTGTTACTGTGTTTGGCATATCGAATACATCACAGGGAGCTTGCCAGGCTCTGCCTTGCGGGCGAGATACTCTCAGTAACTTGCCGGGCTCTCCGAGAGGGGTGGAGGAATTGAACCCAGCTCAGCCCGGCTGGCTGAGTGCAAGGCAAACACCCAACCGCTGTGCTATTGCTCCAGCCCAGATAAGTACATTTACTATTAAAAATAAACTGATTTAAAATGTTAGTATCCCTTATAAAAGTTCCAGTCCAAGATTCTAGTGCAAAAATGTCAGGACCTGGTACACACAGTAGGTGCTTAATAGATAAGGTTTAATGGACAATCGGTAGCTGAGTAAAACATCTGAAACTAAGTAAAATAAAAGATTGTGTGTGCTGAATGTTGTTTCCCTTTAATTGTATTCTATGTTCCTTAAGAGAATTAAAAAGATATTGCAATTGCCATACTGGGTTTTCTTATGGGTGACATCAACCACAAATAGCAAGGTAGTTTCAGAAACATGAAGCAAACTGTTTCCCCACTTTATGCTCTGAGTAAGGTTCTAACCCCAAGGGGTCTAACAAAGAACTTGAAGCATTTTCTTGAAGCTTGTAGCTCACATACAAACACCCAAGCTCTACCACTTTTAAACTGACACACTTGAAGTCATTTAGCAGAGAGTTTAAATGAGTCTACTAGGTAAAAATGTGCACTGTCTATGTGAAGATGGTGTTCAGATATTTAATATATCTGGTGTATGTGTAGTAACTTCAGCCCTCAATGAGAGTATATAATGTATGTCTGGGAATGGAGATTGAGGGTGAGGAAACTGTGTGGTTTGGACATAGTGGGAGGATGAGACAGTAAAGAAAGAAATGAAGTATATACCCTTATAACATCTCCCATCCCAAGCAGGAGGAGAAGCATCAAGGATTGCAATTACATCTCTCTCAGTTTTATTATTAAGTAATAAGAAAAATGGCACCCCAGGTCCAGGTGCTAGACCTCAGTGAATTCATCTTGGAACAACAGTTTCCCACTCAGGCTGAGACAGGACTGGAGGTGAATGACAAGTCAGGGCACTGCATTACTCAGGCACATTCCTGTCAATAGTTGGACATCTTAGTCAAATGGTCAGAGGGGCCAAATTACAGCAAATTGATTCTGAGACAAATTTTATTTACCATCAATTGACAACATCCTATTAAATACCAAAGAGAAAAGAGAAAATATAAAGATATGAGGAGAAGTAGTTATACAAGGAAAATAAGTTTTCAAGCAGGTCTTATAATAAACATTCAAGTATTCCTTCATGGCAGGAGATCAATGCATCTGTAGGAAACTGAAAAAAAATGTTTTTTAAGTACTTGTCAGACACAGTAACAACAAAGTCTCCAATGGAGACGTTACTGGGCCCGCTCGAGTAAATCGATGATCAACGGGAGGGCCTTTACTTTACTTTACTCGAGTCAGAACTAAAAATTGCTTGAGTTCACCTCACCCTAGTAAGAATTATAAGATAATTTTATATAAATAAATAGAAATTATTGGTTATTTTAACTTCTCAATATGGAAATATGTAAATGCTAAAAGTGAGTTAGAAAAGAACTTTTATACTAGAAGACATGTCTTTAAAAGTCTTAGCTAAAGCCATAACATAAAGAACAGGCTCTTAACAGTGATTCATAAACAGAAATTGTACATTTGTACCAACTGCAAAGGATAAAGTCAAACAGAATTTACTACCTCATGATAACAGCCTAATGAAAAATGGATAATCTTTCCTCTGTTTCCCCCAGTATCTTTTAAGGGGTTTTCTTTACTATCCAAACAACTTGCAAATGCATCTGTAACTTGGACTATAGTATTTATTCTCTTTCTTGTTATTTACTCGAGATAGATTTCGCACTGTTTGCTTTGTGCTCATTCTTCTGCCAAATAAAATATTAATTGCATTTTTAGCTGCACTGCTGGTGATCAAAGAACTCTGATATGTCAAGCTAAACTGATAGAAATAGCATCCATTAACATATTTATAGGTTCAGAGCTTCTAGAACATAATTACATCCATTAATTACTTGACAGTACTCTATATTACAGCCTACAGAAGAAAGCTACATTTGCAGCTACACGTTTTTACTTAGAATAAAGTTGGTTTTTTTTAAAGAATAAATTCTTTCTAAAGAAGATTTTACCTAAAGGAAATAAGCAAAAGGGTTCACTCATCCCTACATCAAGAAGGATTCTGAAAGCATTTTATGAACTTTGCAGTAGAAGGCACATAAAGTAAATGAGATGGGCACAGGCTGATTCCACAGAAAGGCATATATATATATATATATATATATATATATATATATGCACACACATACATTCTTAATGACAGAGAAACTGAATTAATATTTCCAAGTTTGAAGAGAGACTATCTCAGGCCAGTAATCTTGAGAATAAAACAGCGTAATAATTTTCACTTTCAAATAAACTTCTTCCAATATCACACAGGACTCAAGCATGGCAAATTACCTGCATTTCTCACCATGCAATGCTAACACATTAAACAAAACTAATAAAAGCTGTCCTGGGAAAACGCTCAGGAGATGTCAGAAATTAATAGAATCAACAATTATCCTGCGATTCACCAGCTGTGCGACCCTGACGCTGGCAGCTGCATTGAGCACATGCATCACGGAAAGGACAGTACCACACACTCATCTCCTCTCTGCCAGGGAAGCAGCATGCAAAATGATGGGTTTCCCAGAATAACTTCAGCACCGGACCCAGCACACTCCTCCCAGCAGTGCATGAAGTCGTGAAAGGAGGGAGAAAAACCAGAAAAATAAATAAATAAATAAATAAAAAAGATCTCACAAGCGGGGCTTGTTCATGATTCTAGCATGAACACAACCAGGACACAGCAGACGGAAAGCCAAGCCACATCTACCTGTACAGATTCTCTGTACATAATTTCCCCGAGTTCTTTGTTGCTTGACAATTAATTGGAAAGGCAGTCAAATACGAAAGTAAAACCATCAAACTGGGGTGAGAGACGACTGCCACGCACTCCCGGAGTGAAGAACAAGGAAAGCACCATACCTTTGGTGAGGCGCCTCAGAATTTGACAACGGCATTTAAAAGAGACAGCTATCATTCTCGCTCACTGCTGGCGGTGGCAAAGTGTACTCAGGGCTCTGCTCTGGCGGCTGCAGCGGCAGCATATGAATTCCTCGCGCACATACCAGGAGAAAGGTGGTCCCAGTGGGGAGTGACAAAGCTTAATTCCTCTAGGCTGATGCAGAGGTCCGCTACATGTCATCTGGCAAAGCTGTGTCATTTACTACCACCAGCCCTGCCCGCCACAGCCTCCTCCCCTGCACAATCACAATGGCTTTAGAAAGTGAGGTTGCTTCGAGAGCAACAAAGCCCCAAATTGTTGAGAGCGGGGACCAACGCGGGGAGTGGAGCCATTCCATAAATCTAGTCCTAAGCACCAAGAGACGCCTTCAGTTGCAGGCGGAGGGGCTGTGCCGTCCAGCCCATCCGGCCACCACCCCCACCCCGCCACCTCGTTTCATCTCAGCAGCAAGTCAGGGTGCTTTATGGGGCTCATTTAAGTGGAAATGCCAGTGCGGAGCTTGCACGCTTACTGCCCTCACAACTGTGTGCATCGCAGACTCTCAGCCAGAGAGGAAAGCCAAGGAGCGAGGCAGTCCACCGCCGGGCTTTAGTGGAGAACAGAAGGGAAGAGCTTTGGGATGGAGTCAGGAAAAACCCAACCCGCTGGGCACTTTACACATCTCCCAGGCTCAAGGCAGTCCGGGATTAGAGAGGGAATGCTAGACCGGCGCAGGCTCTGGCAAGACGTTCATCAAGAGGAGGAAGTCCGACCCCTTTTAATCATCCTTTCCAAAATAGGACTTGGCTGGGAAGCTGTACAGTCAGGACTGTTTCTAAAGATACCAGGAATCAAAGCAAACAAGGCCAAGTATTTCTATTTTAAAGTTCCTTATTACCCTATTTCCCCAACATCCCTCCCCCAAACCGTTCTTCTCTGCAAGCAAACTGAACAATTTTGCCACACAGCGGATAGTTGTATTTGCTCCAGTGATGAGCAAATTAACAAACCCTTCACAATCCATTCATAAAGTGACAAGGAGGCGGAGCACATTCCCTCATCTGTCAGCCTCAGCCTACTCACTGTATACTCATCACAAACTAACATTTGGTGAGGACTTTTCATGAAAATCCAAAATCCTCCCACAGGAATTAAGCATTCAGAAAAGCGGGAAAAAAATAAAGAAAACAAAATAAAAAACACATCACAGTTGGCCAAGAACTTCAAAAAAATCAGTCAAATTGAAATGATATAGCACTGTTAAAACTATTTGATTACTATTTCTAGGATTCTATGAATTATTCATCGTGTCTTATTCTCTAAGGCTGTTTTTTTTTTAAACCTTTCAAGCTGGCTTCTAAAATAACTTCCAGTATTCCAAATTTAGTGACAGATCTCTTCCTCTTCATTCAAGAGTTCCACATTAAGTCAACGAATTTCAATTCACTGGTATTGAAATGCACATGCTTTCTATTTGGGAGCCAACAGAATAAACAATTGGTGTGAAAAACAACTGAATATCACAAACATCTATTTAAAAGCTTCTGAAAGAACAGACTACCTTTGCCAAGGATGAAGCTCTAACTAAGGCAGTCAGCCACCACTGATCAATACAAAGACTATATTAAATGGAGTGTATTACAGAATCAAATTATATCATTGTCCCAATTAGCATAAATCTGTTTCTGAATGTGAGATCATCTTGTTTCCATCTCTCTTAGGTCATTCCCTCATAATGTTTTATCCTCCCTGAATAGTTTTTTGATAACTTAGAGAACTAGGTTATCAGCAAAAGTGAAAAAAATATTTATAGGGAGCTCTTTTTTAAGACCCTCCCACCAATCTTTCTTTAAATCCAGGCACTCAGAATATGCAGCTGTCAAATAGCATTAGTCAAATCTTGCCTGTGGAACATCACCACTTCAAGCCCATTTTATTAATGTCTATTCAAATAAAACTCAAAATCATATAGGAATCTCCTGTCCCCACCTGCACTACTGTTACTCTTACTCAGGTCTAATTGTGTCTTCCTTCAGTTTCACCTTTAACTACAGTGCTCAATTAAAAAGAAAAAAGAGTTCTGACCTCTAGTCCTAAGATCTTCAGTGCTACTAAATTGTCCTATTTTTCCAGGTGAAGGGAAAAAATATCTGCTGGGAGACCCTTTAAAATGATGTTTCCCAAGCCCCTCTTGGGACCCTAGTGGTTGCCAATACATATGAAATTGATGCTTCAGTTCAGGCTCCAGGAATCTCCTGGAAACAGAATACTTCTGGAATAACCCCTTTTCAGAAAATGAACAAACCTGATGATATATGTTCCTACCTCTTTCCGTTTTGGAATCTTCAGTTCTCTCTGATATCTCTGGGCCATTCCCAGCTTTAGCTTCTTGCCATTCTTTCTTGTCCTTTATTTAATTTTTAAATTTTTTTTAAATTTTATTGAATCACCGTGAGATTGTTACAAGCTTTCATGTTTGGTTTACAATCACACAATGATCAAACACTCATCCTTCTACCAGTGCACATTCCCTACCACCAATATCCATGGTTTACCCCCCCTTTCCCACCCTCCCCCTGCCACCAAGGCAGAGAATATTCCCGATACTCTCTCTCTACTTTTGGGCATTATGGTTTGCAATACAGACACTGAGAGGTTATCATGTTTGGTCCTTTATCTACTTTCAGCACACATCTCCCATCCCAACTGATTCCTCCAGCCATCATTTTCTTAGTGATCCCTTCTCTCCAGCTGCCTTCTCCCCTTTGTTCATGAGACAGGCTTCCAGCTCTTATCCTTCTTGATCAGAAACCCCATTCCCCCAGTAAGCCTGGATTCAGAGCCTGAATTCCAGTACTGACAAAATACCCTCCAGCAATGCAAGCTTTTTCCATCTTAGAATCTATTGACCTGAAGGAAAAGGCCCCAAGAGGCCAAGGTCACGGTGGAACTGGAGCAATTTTTTTTTCATAAGACACAATGGGCTATAGTACTTTCATTTCTCTGATACCAGATTACAGTGTTAATTGTAGAGGCTCAGCTGTCTAGATAACTTGAAACTCATACACCTGGAGGGTCATTAGTGGGGCTCTGGAAATGTAGGAAAAATGGTAAAACAAACAAACAAACAAAATGTATCTGATAAAGTTGCAAAGTGATGTGGAGTTAGCTCATGAGGATTCTTCCTCTTTATTCTTTTTGAGTGGGGGTAGGGGTGTTTGGGCCACATCCATTTCTGTGCTCGGGTGCACCCTCTGATGGTGCTTAGGGGGTCATTTGTGGTATCAGGGAATCAAACCATGGTCAAGGTGGCAGCAGCCATGTGCAATCCATGTACTATCACTCCAGGCTCTATTTTTGAAAAATAAAGGGCTGATAGTGGAGGAGGCAAGGCACTTGCCTTACCAGGAGTCAGTCACTCCTAAGCATAGAGCCAAGAATAGCCCCTGAACACTGCTGGTCCAACCTCTCTTTCCACCAAAAGATAAAAAATAAAATATGAACCTGCTGGACCAAGCTCATTGAGGTTTCTCAGGAGTTCAAGATGCCGCTCTGTCTAACATTCATTGATTTAAAGAAGGCCTTTGATTCTGTTGAGATGGAAGCGGTCATTGAAGCCCTAGCCAATCAGGGCATTCAAACTCAATATATCAGGAAACTCCGTGAGCTGTATTACGGATTCACTACCAGGATCTCACTATTCTACAAAGAAGTAATCATTGATGTCAAGAGAGGAGTTTGGCAGGGTGAATATCATTTCACCGAAACTCTTCAGTGCCACCCTTGAGAACATCATGCGACGACTGGAATGGGAAGAAATGGGAGTGAAGATAGATGGTCAGTAACTACACCACCTCTGCTTTACTGATGGCATTGTTCTAATAACACCAAACACTAGCCAAGTGGCACAAATGCTGGCCGACTTCAACCGTGAATGTGGAAAGGTCGAACTACAGCTAAATTTTACGAAAACAATGTTTATGAGAAACAGCCTCATTCCTGATGCTCCATTCGCTCTCAACGGAACGACCATCTCCGAATGCAACAGTTATGTGTACCTAGGTCGAGAAGTCAACATGATGAATGATCTGGCACCTGAGTTCGCAGGAAGGAGGAAGAGAGTGGCTTGGAACGCCTTCAAGAGTGTCGAAGAAATAGCTAAGAAGATGAAGAACCTCCAGCTCCGGGCACATCTCTTTGATTCCACTGTTCTTCTTGCATTAACACACACCTCAGAGACCTAGGCCCTAGCAAACAGGATGAGAACGCTATTCAGGTCTCCCAAAGAGGAATTGAAAGAGCTATGCTTGGAGTATCATGTTTCACTCAATTGAGAGAAAGAATCCGGAGTTCTGACATCCGTCAACGATCAAGAATCAGGGATGCTGTCTCGTTTGCCAAAAATCAGATGGCCTGGACACGTAAGGAGATTTGGAGCCGACCACTGGACTAGAGCCATTACTGACTGGATTCCACAGGATGTCAAAAGACCGCGTGGCTGCCCACCTACCAGATGGTCAGACTTCTTCATCAAGATCCTGAACGATTGGTTTGAGGCTGTTCGTGTTCCTACAACGAACAGACGCCATTGGGCTACACTAGCATGCGACAGGGACAAATGGAGATGTTACTGGTGCCCGCTCGAGCAAATCGATGATTAACGGGAAGTCAAGTGATCAAAATATGAACCTGCTGGACACAGATTATTAGTTTCTTAAAATGATTGTTCTAACTTCAGGATCATTTGAATTTCAAACTAATATTTGAAATACTGCTTTTCATATATATGATTTTATAAAAGAATTACAATGTAAGTTTCCATATGTATCTTTGGAGTGTCTCTATTATAGGTTATATTTCTAGATAAGGAGACTGGTTCTCAAGGAGCATTTTTTCCTTGAAGTTGTTCAACTAGTAATGGTAAAGAATAGGAAAGACTCTGAAAGCTCACTCTGGCTAAATATTCTTTCTACACTTTGCATTCTACCAGTGGCTCTGTTCTACTGATAGAAAACATGATCGCAATTACTGGGGAAAGAAATCCAATTAACAAAGGACCTTTAAGTGAAGTTGCACTCTTTGACAGAAGGCAACTCCAGAGCTGATGCCTTGCACCTCTTCTTCCTTGTTAATGCATCTAGAGTTATGGTGACAGGGAACAAGGAGCTGGAAATCAAAGGTACCTAAGACAGGTCCCTCTCGAAAGGATATTCGCCGAATACACATCTGACAAGGGGTTGATATCCAGGATATACAAAATACTGGTTAAACTCCACAAGAAGAAAACATCCAACCCCATCCAAAAA